ACCGTGACGTCTTAAACTATCTTTATTTTCTTGTAAAAGTCAACAACTTATTTCAACCGCGAACCTGTTTTCTGAACTTCCCGGTAATTTTCTCCATATTTTTCCCTTTCACCTCGATTTCCACTTTGCCCATACACAAGAAGGGCGTAACTTGCAACGGTAGGGCGTGAATCACAACCCCCATAAAGAACAGTAGTAAGCTATGCAAATTCTATAATTGCTACTCGGCCTAGGAAAAATGGAACTAGGTTAGCCGGGCCACTTGTGAATGCACATGTTTTTAAAATGCACTACTTACACTGATGAACCGTTTTTTTTCTCAACTTAAAATGCTCATGGAAATATGTATGGTAGCGATTGAAACCGAAAAACTGATGTGGTTAGGTATGTAAGTAAGTAAACACCCAAAACAAAAAGCTAAAAAAAAAGTTACATGTAACTTTATGTATAACGAATAACATTTTGAAACTTTCAAGAATTTGAATAAATAGTACTTACATTTAGAAATGTAGAAGTACTTTAAGACTTGTTAACAAAGACTTTGGAATTGCTGTGGTGCCTAAATTTTATTACCTTACTTATACAACTTCTATCTGAAGAAAGTAAAAATATTAACATAACATTCAGTTTTGTGTTTAGGAATAAATAAGTAGGTATGCCGTGTGATGCCGGCTTAGAATAGCTTCACCACATTTCTTTCCAGCGGGTGTCGTAAGATGCGACAAAGGGACTCGAGGGTTTCATGTGTGTACAACTTAATTTAAAAACGCTAATTTTAGCACACACGTGTTTCAAATTCACAAAGCTGACTATGATTTCATTATACAACGTGTTACAAAACAACCAATAAAGCTGAAAGGGTGTGGAAAGGTCCGTTGCAAAGAGTCGATTCACAAAAAATTAGAGCCGTAGTATCGTTTTTGAAAACTACGAAAAAATTATTTTTTTATTAAATTACACTTATTTTTAATCGTGGCATCGCAGCACTAATTTTGACAGCTCAAAGTTCAAATGAAGTTACCGACGCGGCGAAACGCAGTTCGGTCTACATTGCTGGCTATTACATGAATGTCATCAATACAAGAAACTAAGTCAACCAGCAATGTACGCCGAAGCGGACTTTGTTCGCCAGGTAGTGTAGCACCTACCCTAGACTAGTGATGTGATTATTTCATCGACTGATGATAATGAAAAATATTCTTTTTTTTGGTTAGTTTTGTAACAGGTTGTAAATGAATGTGTATAATCAGATTCACCTATATTTAGTTTCCAAATATGAAAACGGTGTGGAATCTGCAACACGTGTCAATGGTGTAATTTATACTGACATGCGGCCATATAATCTGTTTATTTACGAGGTTGCCATAAATAGCGGGCCTGAATACGTACTATCAGAAGCACATCAACCTTGGGAGATCAACTTAGACTGGTTAATCCTAGTAACTGTATGAAAGACCAATATAAGCTGACCCCTTCTACTTGGTAGGTTTATGTGTTGTTAATAGTTCTTATCTAATGCATTTCAATCAAGACAACTTTGTTGCTTAGGAAAAAAAACCGGCCAAGAGCGTGTCAGACACGCCCACAAATAGGGTTTCGTAGTCAACGTTTAAATATCAGGTTTTTCAGCATTACAAACTTAATTTTGTTGCTGGTTTGTTAGCAGCAGTATGATGACCAACCGCAAATAGAAAAACTCAATGTTTTCTGAAAACTTTAAAGGTACAATATCCGTTATAGTTTTCATTGTAACTTCAGATTGTAAGCTATATTCCATATTTATTTCAAATTTTTAGCGTTTATACTTTAGAAGTTACAGCTGGAACAAATTATGGGTCAAAATCGCCCTTTTTAAAAGCAAATATCTCGTGACAGAAACATTTTAGTGACTTTGTTTCAAAGAAACCTCACCTTAGTTTTAAAAGACCTATTCAACGATACCCTACTCAATATTACAGAAGAAAAAATTTTTTTTTGCCCCCCTTTCACTTGTATGGGAGGGGGTCCAAAAAACATTTAAAATATTTTTTTCTTAACATTTCTATATTTGGGTCAACGCGATCTATCTTTTCACCAAATTTCATGGCGATAGCTCTAAAACTGACGAAGATATGAGGGCGCGGCATACAGACAGACAGACAGACAGACAGACAGACAGACAGACAGACAGACAGACATGACGAAACTATAAGGGTTTCTAGTAGACTACGAAACCCTAAAAACTCGTTCTGTTAGAATGAATAAGCGTAGACATTTGCTACAGCGTAGCAAATGCGTAGCAACCACGTAGCAACAGAATAGTTGAGCTTACAGCGTACGAGTTTAAAAAATGCTATCTGCCTATCAAACTTTTATGGTAGACCCGTCCAAATTATGTAGATCCCTGGTTTCAAATCGTTTAAACGGTGTTAATAAGTAATATCAAAATAATGTGTACGTACGTACTAGGGCTTGCATTCGAATATTCGAATAATTCGAATAGTAAACCAGACCACTGATTAAAAATGCGGCCGACGTCTGAATTACAAATTGTAGGCGGGAATTAGGCGGAAGTTGCGAATATCGTTATAAGGTTGTTGGAACTGTTCGCTAACCGATTTCATGAAAGAGGGTATATTTAAGACAGTTTATGGAAATGACAGGATAAAAAATATCTTATTTGTATAATGAAGTCGAAATGTAGATATTTCAATGAAAATGTCTTATTTTCTTTTTGACACTGTTATGTGCCGTTTATCAAGTTTTTGATTATTTTCAAACTATTTCAAGTTTCTTTTTATTTCCGGAAGGGTAGGGTTTTTGCATTTGACTGTAATAATTCTAGAAGCCGAGAAAATTCTAGAATCTAAGATGGAGCGAGTTCATACAAGGTGGAAAGTGGCAAAAAATATTCAGTGGCATGATGGTGGCATGTAAAAAAATAAAGTGGCCAGTCCCCCATGATAAATAATATTATTATTTATGATAAAATTCCAATAGTTTCCCGTGATATTTATTTAACATGTTGCCGTACAAATCTCTTAAATAATTCGGTTGTTCGTCGAGTACGGCTTACCAATTACGATCGCCCAATAAATCGCGATGAAAATATTGATAACGCCATTGATGCAGTTGCTACGAATTATGGAGAACTGTTCCATTTTCGAATTGTATTTTGTAATCAGTGGTACCTACCAAGGTGGTGCCTAGTTATCAAAGACTTATTATGGTTAATACCGTTGATTATACCACTTACTTGCCTGGCTGGTTTTTAACAGGGAAAAAAATAATCCGATAAACGCGGCTGAAATGACTAGAAAGTTTTGAAAATGGAACAACTGCTCTACAACATTATTTGTGGTTAGGTACTATTTTACAGTTTTTAAGGACCCTATGTTCATTCATCCTTATTCTTTTAAAGGGTATGTTCTGCCCTTTATGCAGCATGCGTGTTTTAACAAAAAAGAGCCATTCCCTTTAGGTAATGTTCAATGTGTTCAAATCTCATAAATAATTCGGTTGTTCGTCGAGTACTGGTTACCATACCAATTACGTGCGCCCAATAAATCGCGATGAAAATATTGATAACGCCATCGATGCAGTTGCTACTTGCTACGACACACGGTGAATTATGGAGAACTGTTCCATTTTCGAATTGTATTTTGTAATCAGTGGTAGGTAGTTGTTAAAGACTTATTTATCCGATCTGTCTCAGAAATCAGGGTGTGGGCTGAGTGTGGGTGCAGGAAAAGAGTCGAATAGTTGAATCACAGCTTTATTACAAATTCAAACAGTAACGTACTCTATGAAATAGGTACACTTGCAACGTAAGGTATGCGATGGCAGTTCCTCAACCGCACGAGGCAATCGCTGAACGTCGAAAAATTGGAATGCCGCCTCGTGGAGGCCAAGACTCCACCGTGGCGCGCAATCTCGGTGGGGTGACTCGACTCAGCTTCTGATTGGTCAGCGTGTGTAGTTCACCGAAAATCAGGCCACCGTAGATGGCACGCCTGCGCACCTTTCCGCCGCTAGCGCAACAGTCAGCATGATGTCCGTGCTCATGACTTTTCCTGTCTCCGACATATTTAAGTTTTGTGACTTCCCTAGCTTGTTTTTAACAGGGCAATGAAGAACTGTCCGTTATTGAAAAGAAAAATACAGATGGCGCGCTCTATCACCATGCAGATATATTATGACATTTATGACGTAGGAGGACGCCATCTATATTTTCTTTTCAAAAACGTGGCCCTGGACAGTTCCTCATACCCCGGGGCAATATAATAATACGGGGGCAATATATTATATAAACGCGGCTAAAACGACTAGAAAGTTTTAAAAATTTAACGACTGTTTTACAACATTATATTCTGTGGTTAGGTAGGTAACAGTTTAAAAAAGTTAACGACTCTATGTTTATGCATCCTTGCGTGTAAGCCTTAATAAGGCCTATATAGGCGTGTTGCCTAAATACTGGGTGTTACAAAACAACCAATAAAGCTGAAAGGAGGTCAAGATACTCGTAAAACTGAACAACTTTTCCTATGGAACATGGGTTGAAATATGAAAAAAAAAATTGGACTTCCCATACAAAATGAACTCAATTTGTATGGGAGTTTTTACGGGTTGTTTTGTAACACGTTGTATAGGCCTTTAAACTCCTTTAGTATTTTTATGCAGCATGCCTGTTTTAACATTAGAGAGGCGTTCAATTTAGGTAATGTTCAGTGTGCGATAACTATAAAACCAATTCACCTGCTCTCATCACACCCAAATCATTCTACAAACACTAGGTCTTTGATGGTATCTGCTTAATGTACCTTATGCGTACGTAATTTGCGTCTCAATATTATCTTAAACCCAACAGGCAGGTTAGCATAATGTTAGTGCTGCGTACTGTTTAATAGAGATGCAACGAACTACTTAATTTCGCCGAATACCGAATAGCTACTCGTAAGTAGTCAAGTTAAAAAAATATATAAACGTAGCAAGTGGTTTATAATTTCGCCGACTGGGTTAGAGCCGCCGTGGTGTAGTGGTAAAACACGTCTGGCCCGCCTTGTCAGAAGACGTGGGTTCAAATCCCTTCAGTGGCGTGAATTTTTTCCACTGGCTTCGTTTGTATTAATTTTGAAACCAAAAAGTTAATTGAATATGTAGCAACAGTTTGAAGGGTGTAAAACTCACGATTATGCCTGGTTCTCTGGTCTCGCTAACAAAAGGCAAAAAAGACATCTAAACATGCATGTGCCAGTCTCCAATTCCACCTTCATTTGTAGAGCGTGCGGAAAGTCATGCCGCTCCCGTATCGGCTTATATAGCTTTGAAAAGCCTTGCTTTAGACACTGAATGAAACGTATGTTACAGACGCATGAGGCCAATGATGTTGATGATGATAGCAACGGTCGAATATTTGGCGGCCGAATATTATTAGGTATTCGACAGAATTTTGAAGGCCGAATGTTCGGTAGGTGTATTCAGCCAAGCAGTGTCTGTGTGAGTATTTCTTGCCATCGCACACGTAAATACAGAAAAATACTTTACCTTCTCACCAAAATTGGGTTTACTTTTACCATGTAATTCGATTGAAGTTTAGGTTTTCGTTTGTATGACGTTTCGCCTAATACCGAATAGTGGCCGAATATTCGTTGCATCTCTAGTTAGTACCTACTGTTTATGCCGCACGCCCGAACGCGCCACAATTAATTAATAGATGATTGGTTTAGATATCACAACAGCTCTACATTAACTCAGATAATTTGGAACAGTGTTGCCAGTTTGTACGCAAGATGAACGTTGATCAACCGTGTTATATGCTGTGAGGTTAACCCAGCTTAAGTAGGTATGCCCGTTTGAACAGACTGTCAAAATCATGTTAATGCTTTAGAATAAGGTCTATTTATCTCTGTTGACATGTCTTTTAGTATGGGTTTGACAGCTGTCATGTATAATATAGCCTATTCAAACGGCCGTACTCTAGTGTCTTTGTTTTTATCATAACTTACTGGGGGGTCATGTAATGTTATTTATTATAGCAAAGGTATAATGAATGAATCACATTTTTTATGTGTAACTTTCTTAACTCTCAACTTAAATGATTCATAATTTATATGATGTTTTCCATTTTACGCGAAATTAAATTAGTATTCACGAGAAAAGCTCGGAGGAAATGACATAAAGGTTTTTGAGCAAATAGATAATTTTCCAGGAAACGCCATTAGATTTTAAGGAAGAAAACAGCTTGATTTTTTCTTGTCATTGGAGAAAGTTAAATAAAATGACTGCAAGGTTTATAAGTTACATCCATAACCATAACTGCCATAACAGTCCACTGCTGGACATGGGAGCGCAGTGCAAGATGGTGCATTGACAGGGAACGTCTCGTAGTAGCTTTTTACGAATTGGGGTGATGCATATTTCTTCTTACTAATAAGGTTATTATTTTCATAAAATCATTAGTTTCACGATAATGGACATCCTACAGAAGGTAATAAACGGCGAAAACAAGAAAAATAAAAACAATATAAACATATCAGAAATTACTTGCGGCTGGCAACCCTATCGTAATTATGAAATGATAATTCGCATAATTTGATTAGGACTTTATCTACTTGAATTAACGTCGGTATTTCGATAGCGCCTTGTTCAAATAATGGAGGATTAATTAAAGACGCTCACTGATTGCTCACAGGCAGCTTATATAAGATATAACACAATGCCCTCCTTTTCAGGCAGTCGGATAAAAATGGTACCTGCATAAAGATTGAAGTCAAGGTTACTTATTCCATGAAACTGAACAACTTTCCCCAAGGAACACAAGTCAAAATTGAATATGATAAATCTTTAATCGCACTAAGTAGTACTTCCTTATTTTGAAAATTCTTTATTACGTACATTTTATGTAAACACTTACGCTACGAATGCAAGTATACTGTCTGTAAACAAACCGAACGACTTAATCCATCCATTTCGACAAATCGTACAAATCAAACAGAAATACAATCGGGCACTCTCAGCAAGCAAACACACTGGCTGGTTGCTTTTACTCAAAAGCCAACACATTCCAAATCGGAATACTCAACGAATCGAATTTCAAACTTAGAACTATTCTGCTGAACATCCCCCTCTCGGTCTAATCCAAAATCGCGCATTCACAAAGCCCAGTCTCCGTTTGCGCGAATATTTGTGCTCCTTCACACACGTGGAACTCCAGCCAGCCGTCAAAGACACTTTCCGGATGACGGCGGAATAGTTATGAGAGGTCAAGTTGCGCTGGACGTCATTTTCGCGCCTCATTTGAGCACAAGCGCTCGTCAATGGACCGCGTTATGCAGATTTTGAATTTCGAACGCATCCGAGCGATGAGACGAGCGCGCCCGTTATGTATTCTGTGCCCGTGCGGCGTGCATTCTCCAAATTGTTAATTGACGCGCGTTTGTTTGGTCACAATTTAAACGATTTAAATTGGGTTTAAAGCTTTCGAAATTATTAAGTACGACAAATAGACATAACTGTTATGTTATGATTATGAAACAGAACAGAGACACAACTGTACCAGATTCCAAACAATGATTGAGCGGTTGCAAATTCAGGTCATTCCATAGATAAGTGTGAAACATTGAGAAAACGCGTTTTCTCAGAAGGAATGTTCCAATTATGTTGAAGTCAATCAGGTGAAAAAAATAAGAAATACTTACCAAAACTGTGTTCGATGTTAAAATGGACGCTACACGTTTTGCAACCCGCAATGGCGCCATCTGCAAAGAAGAGAAATACAAATTAAGTATATTAGCTTTCGTAAATATTTAATTATACTTTTCAAAACAGGATAAAACGGCTCCTTAGTATCATTTAAGAAATAAACTAAAAAATAAATATACGTGGTGCCAAAATGTGACATAGATCTATTTAAACATATTTAGAAAACATCTTTTTATTTCAAACTATCATTAGTAAACGCCACATTTTAGCGGAAGTAGCATTCCGCGCGAAAATAACGTCTTCCGTAGCTTCTACGTCCATAAATAATAATTTGCGTGTCATGGCTGCCGTCATAACAAAAGCCAGACATTTCCTCATATTTTTAGCTTCCTACAACCTAGTCTTTCATTATCATTACTTAACATAAGTGGACTTATTTTCAGTTAGCCGAACCCATTAAGCTGAAGCTTGAAGAGTTCAACACACATGCTCATTTATTTGCTGACTAGTTCCATTAGTCCTGCTTATAGAACTGTTATAGAACCGCTTCACCACATGCCGTTTTCCCAGCAACTCCACCATTACGAGTACGCTAGTCACTAGCCCTCAATAACAATTTCATTATACAGTGCACAATCGCGTAATTGCTATGGAACTTTGTACTCGGTTGGGGGCATTGAAACCGATGTAGAGACTCGCCCTACGAAGGAAGTTCCGATGTCCCAGCGAGTACTAACGATTCCCAGCATGAAGTGAAAATCGAAAAAAAATAAAAATGCTTTATTGGAACAACTAGAGGAAAGCCCGGCTTCGCTCGTTATTGGAACAAAAACATAAATGGTACATTTTATGTTGGCTTAAAAGCTCTCTCTATAGTATGTACGTTTTTGCTTGGTGATTTGGACAGCGTCACTGTCATGTCACTGATGGCAATTTAGGGATGTGACGTAATTTACCAACGAGTATGATTCCTGATACTAGTACGATACTAGCTTAGCTACTCAGTATCAGTAATAAATATGAACCAAAGTAATTTTTAACAGTAAGAAATAAGAACAACATCTACACAACAACAAGTGTATATAGGGTGAAGTTTTACTAGTGACTGATAATGAAAATGCATGTCGGGCTGGTGAAAAGAATCTGCTTTTCCCAAGAAACATAGTCGAAATAAAAAAGAAATTGGATCTCTAACAGAAACAATTTATATTTAACTCTATAATATAACAATACCTACTTCAAAAACTAGATATTTATTTACACAGAACATAATTCGTTTATTTCTCGTTTGTTATTAGGATTTGATAATTTCCGTTCCTTCTCATTGATATCTTGAGTGTTGTAGCTTTCCTCATATTTTTCATTCGAAATTTGGGTTGCAGTGTTTATTCAAATGCCGAGAGCGTCGGGTACACGGCAACGGAGTAAAGTAATTAATTACTAATAACATTTTGAGTTTGCTACACTCACAAGTGAGTGCTGTCTTACTGTCTTTATTCAGCAAAGTTAAAAGTCAAAAGCAACAAAATATTATCATCAGAACAAAAGTCAACAAAAATCCTCTAAACCTCAAGACGCAGTTAAGCATCACCGCAAAACCGTCCTCCACTCTCAGGGGAGGTTCCACTGTCAAGACCGGAATACTAACAAGCATTGGCCACGAAGAAAGTTGAGAAATTTTCTAGCTTATCTTTAATCTAAAAAAAAAACTTCGCAAGGAAATATACCTATTATTTTTATATCTAGTAGAGTATCAATATTAGTAAAATTTCTTAGGTCGAAAACAGTTAGACAGAAGAATTTCCCCTTCTATAGTTATGAAAATTTAAATTGTAAAATAGGAAAGTTATTAAGTTTCTTGAAGTCTCGAATGGTATAAATGCGCCTGCATCAAGCTTAACTAGGCTGAAAAGTATTGCTTCCTAGTCACTGTTATTATAACAGTAACATGCCTATTATTTAGGGCACAGGCCTACTAATAATGTCTTTGGTACTATGGTGATACGTAACTTTGTCACAGCGAGCATATTTATTTAATAAGTTTACTGATTATTATAACACAAAAATAATTGTGTAATATTTTAGGCAGAATTTATAGTTGTATTTAACTTAAAATTAGCTAAACAAGTGATATTTAAGTGCCCGTTCACACATGCGACTTTTTCTCGGCGAAATTTTTATCTCATGGCGTGTCAATGGGCCAGTATGAGCGTGTGCACACGAAGCGACGCGTTTCTCGGGTGACTTTTTTGTCCGACTAAAAAGGCGCTGGTTGGTCGGTCAGCAACTCGATCGCCGGGGTGAGAGGACTTCATTTCCTTTACATTCGCTGCCTTCTCGCTAGGTATTTAGAGATTTTTAGAGTGAGGATGCTTATAAAGATGATAAAAAAGTC